TGTCTTGATAGTGGCCTTTATTGAGACATCTTTAATCTCTTCTTTGAAGAGCAAGTGCTATAGAAAGGACTGTCTCCTTGATTCATATTTTTACTCTGCTACACAGAGTGACTGGGATTGCTGGTCACTTTAATGCAACCACTTAGAGGCAGACAGATGGGTCTTCATCTAAGTGGGATTCAGACTTCATTTAAGAAATCCTCTTTCCTTCTCCACCCCCCTCCTTCTGTTAGGCCTCATGCTACTTAACATCTGCTCTATAAAATTATAAGATGCTTAGTTGTCAGGTATTGTTAAAGACAGAATTTTTGAGGTTACCTTCTTTTGGTTTTTGAAAGACTTTAAAAGTGATGGTCTTGCCCGGTCCTATTGATAACAGGAGTATTTCCATGACTGGTAACAGGTTTTTGAGGACTATGGCACTGTTCTTGGGACTGAGATTTGCAAGTCGCCTGTTGCAGGCATGTGTGTCAGGAGCATGAAGCTGATTGCTTCTACCCCTGCCTGATGCAGCTCATTGACACTTTGGTCCTGGACAGGGAAACAAACCAATGGAAAGTGCTTCTCCACCAGTCTTGTAGGAGCTAGGTGCTGAACGTCTCTTTTTTGCTGTGTCATCCACTTTCAAAATGCTCTTCTTGATTGTGTGTTTCTGAAAATCATCTAAGGGGTGCAATCATGCTGATTCAAAGCTGCTGCACATGATGCTACTGAGGTCCCTGAGAACTGACTTGACTTTTTAGCACTGTGAAAGTTTCACTTGGTGAGACCTGGGGAAAGCAGAACTACCATCAACAATATCTCAAAAGGTTTTGGCACTGTTGGCTACTGTTGTGCCTTTTGAGTGATGCATCACTCCTAAAGTTGCAGGACTTCTACAAGTTCACCAAACCCACCTAGCATTTTCTTGCTCCCATACCTTTTTCTGTGTCTTTTTTGTGAAGTTGGGTAGCTTCGTAGTAGCACTACAAAGTTGTAATTCACTTGGAAGTACCCATAACCCAAAACTTGCTGTGAGAGGGTTTTTGGAGCATGAAAGCCTAGTTAAATGTGGTTGGCTTTTTTTTTTTTTAACCATTGCCTTTTGATAAGCAGTCCACAGAATTCCCAGTAGTTCCTTTGTAGCTTACTATATGCTTTTAATTAGACCTAGTTTGTGGATAATATACTGTAGTTAACTTTCCTGAAATTCTGTAACAGAGTATGTTTTTGATGAAAAAAGGTAGAGATTCAAGTCTTTGGCTTCTTTATTTCATTCAGTGGACAGCTTTTACCCCATCTCTGGCCAGCTGTCAGAGCTGCTAGCTTTGGTCTTGAACTGTTAGGGCTAGGAGAGCTCTGTGGAGCAGGGCTGTGATTCCAGAGTGTCCCTTCTCGGAGTCCCACATGTCAGATACTTGGGTGCAACCAGTATCAAAGCCACTGTCAGTGTCCAGTGTGTAAACTTCTCTGGGCACCTGCATGCACACATGCCTTAAGCTGGTGGAGCACAACAGTTTTGTGGGTGTTCATGGTAATGGAAATTACTTCTTTTGAGCCACCAGCCAAGCTGTGTGTGTGTATGGGTACATCAGAATGCATTAGTGTGCACCCAACTCTGTGTCTGGAGCTTCACAGGTAGCTGCGGCAGGATGGAGTGCACCGATGCATAAGTTGCGTGTCCTGAGATGCCAGACTATAATAACTGCACTGTGAATGATGATACTCCTCCCCCAAACATCTTCCTGTATGTATGGCAGCATCAAATCCTCAAATTCTCACTATGCTAATTTCCTGTGGCCAAGACTCTCCTGTTCAGTTGCACAGTCCCTCCATAAGCTACTCAATTGCCACCTTAAACCAGTTGTAGTTCCATACCTTGCCAGAGAACTTTCCAGATGCTCCCTCCTGGTACTGGTTAGCTGTTGGGGCCTGGCTAGCAGAGGAGCTGTAACTTAACCAACGGTTAAAGGAATGCTTAAGCAATTAAAAACAAGACACACAAAATAGGTCTCACTGACCTTGTTTCTATCTTCATGCATTCCTGTGTTCTTCAATCCAACACCTTATAATGGTCTTGTTCTCTCCTGCAGCCAGGGTTTTTAGGTTTGGTTTTAATTTTACTGCCTTATAGATAAGTCATTTTGCTAACAAGCTAAGAATAGTGCTGTTATTTAGATTCTCATAGACACTGTGTAGCTCTTGTTACCAGTTTCCCAGGATGTGAGAGCGGGATGCAGCTTAAACTTGTAACCTATCATAAGTAAGAATTGTACGCATTGACAAGTGGAGCAACCAATCCAAAGTTGTGTGATCAGTGCGTAGCTGCATGTACGAGAGACATTTTACTATAAATACTGTTAGGTGCCCTAAATAAAGTTGGCTATCAGAGCATCATATTGGTGTGTGCTGTAGTCCATCCCTCGCAAGGACCCCAACAGTTAGCAATCCTTTTGTAACTACTGGCTGGTCATTGTTGTGGCCAATGTAAAACTGTTGGATCATATACTGGTATTATCCTCTAGAGCACTGAGAAACTATATACCAGCACATGATGCTGCACATGTAACCCTCCTGATACGACCACATGACTCCAGGCATGGACTAAAGCCATGTTGCAAAGCTAAAGCAGGATCAAAAAGTATTAGTCTGATCACCCCTGTACTGCCCAAGAGGCTAGAGGATGTCCCTGTGCCAGACCCCTGCCCACCCTGTTGCTATTTGTATGCCCATGGGGGCACTGGAATGACCCAATGGGGGGGCCTGGTGGCTTTGAGAGCATCCTGCAGATGATGTGGATCATGTCCCCTTTTGGTCATGTTCTCCATGGCCATAGGACATGGCCAAGGACACATGGCATGGTGGTGGCAGAGGTGGGAATGACCTCTGTGGGTAGGGATCCATGGGGACACCTGGGCAGCTGGTGTCAGCAGCAGGCAAAAGGGACAGGAGCAGATCCCTGCAGCACTGCCTGAGTTCGGCACGTGAAGTACTAAGCACAACATTCAAGTTAATGGAAACAAGTCTTCATTAAGTAACTTTTAATATCAGAAAAATAAAACTCTTATAATTCTCTTTACAGCAAATATAGAATATCAGTGCTTTGGCCACCATAAGTTAAAGGCCCTTTATCATAAAATATATTGGTTTCAAACTTTACTAAAATTGAATTTATAATCCCTATGACCTCCCTACATATACATAAAGTGTAGTAAAAGTAGCAAATACTAAGCTAGATCAATAGTTTAGCATTCTTAGTTTCTGGTTTATAGAAGTGGTACCTGCACCTAATGTCTGTTGATTCCTTGGCTTATTAGTCATGGCGTACAATGCAATAAAACAAAATACATGCTTGGTGAACATTTGTTCACATCTACAAGACTGCAGCTAGAGGTCAGGTTTCAATACTGACGTAACTATTCTACAAGTAATTATAGCATTAAAGTTCTGCAGTGCATAAAATACCTTCAAGGCAACTCTTACACTGAAAAATCATAAAATAAAAAGTTATTTGTAAACTTTTATACAAAATGTAACTCTTTAAGTGGAAATAAAAATAAATTTTTCTGCATATTTACTAGTTCAATACAATTTCTTTCTTTTTGTTATACTGAGTAAAAAGCTTGTCTTGGGAAAATAATGCTTTAAAAGATAGAAAAAAATACATCAGAACTCAACTTTGTGTCCTATTTTTGTTTGGTTTTGTTTTAATATATGCCAGCATAGATTTGGGAATGTACTGAGGATGAAAAAACTAGAAACATCCACAGGTTAAAATGTAAGAAGCTCATTCAAGAGACTTTTTTTTTTTTTTGGAAAGAGTTTTGAAATGAAGTAAACTGATTGCAGGGCCACTGTCACAGTTGCTGTCGTGAGTAATACAAGGGCATTTACACAACTTTCCCTTTTTCTTTTTCCTTCCTAAAAATAAAAAAGATATTTATATATGTGTAAGACACATGGATTGAACAGAAAAATGCTTCACATTTTGAACTATATACTCTCTAAAAAGGTAATTAAAGAACAGTTTGATCAGACTAATGAACAGAATGTCAGCATCATCACTGTAAGTCAAAGTAGCATCATCAAGTCAAAGTATGTGCATCTCAAAGCGCTTACTTTAACTGGATGAAGCCAGCCAGACTTTTTCCACATTACGCTAAGAAAAGCAGTGGGTAGGAATTCACAAACTGAGACATTCCTGATCCTCTAAACATACTGCCCTTATTAGGGATGAAATGAAGGTGTATCAGGCAGCTTCTCTCTCCCCACCTCACTGTAATTTATTATCTGTACCTGCTGCATCTCAAAGCGCTTACTTTAACTGGATGAAGCCAGCCAGACTTTTTCCACATTACGCTAAGAAAAGCAGTGGGTAGGAATTCACAAACTGAGACATTCCTGATCCTCTAAACATACTGCCCTTATTAGGGATGAAATGAAGGTGTATCAGGCAGCTTCTCTCTCCCCACCTCACTGTAATTTATTATCTGTACCTGCCAATAATGTAATCCATTTCAATAAATCAAATTATGCTTTATAATAAAAGATATTTGCAATGCTGAAGAATTAGGTATAAGTTGTCACACAAAGCAAAAAATATTTCCCCAAACCTGTTTTTCAAAACTGGTAGAAGTTTTGGTATTTGGTACTGGAAGTGTTGTTTCATTGCTGCCAGCACACAGTAGTCAAATGCTTAACAGAGATCCTCTAGAAAAGCCTGGAAAAGCTGGGGTTTTTTTCAATTGTGTAATTTATGAAAACTTCCCCTCACTGTGCCATAACATTACACCAGATGTATCTCTGCTAAATATGTCATCTGCTTACACTGAACTGGACAGAGACCACTTAGGTTTAGTGTTACCATAGCATCCTTTTGAGAAAGTAGAAATTTATTAACAACTTCAGCCTAATCCCAAGAAAGCCAAGTCAGAGTTCATTTAGAAAGTTTACTAGAGGGTACTATTACACTCGTGCCTTTAAGTCTTTAAAAGTCCACATATAATAATATCTCTATATATTTAAGAGTGAATTTGAATTGCCTGAGTAACAGCTGCCTGGCAAACAGGACACAATGCTGTTTCCTTTTCACAGATTTTGTTGGCACACTGCAGGCAGAAGAGATTGTGGCCACAGGGGACCAGTGCCACAGTGACTTCACTCTCAAAGCAGATCACGCAGTCATGCTTCTGTCTTGACTCAGGGGGTGAGCTGGATGTGGAGCCACCATTGGAAGATGAATAGCTGTTGGTACCACTGGAGAATGCAGGGATGTAGATGGGAAGGCCTACTTGGTGGCTGGTGCTAGGTGGGTCACTCCTCACTTTCCTAGCCAGCAGGTGATCCAGGCTTTCTGGAAATGTGGATGACAAGCAAGGAGTAGATGGCTGGCTCCCTCGGCATTGAGGTTTGGCATTACTAGTAGGGTCACTACCAAAGCCAGAGAGAGGGTTTACAGGTTCAAAAGGAGTCCAAATGGTTTGGGAAGGCATTGGTAAGGAATCATACACAGGAGAGTCAACCACAAGGTCCTCTGTGCCCACTGAAGGCAGCATTTCTCCAAACCAAAAGTTGCCTGTGCTGAACGGACTCGTTGGGCTGAAGTCAGCCAATCTATTGCTTCCAAAATAGGAATCTGTGGAGCCACTTCCCAAGGAGCTGGAGCTGTCATTCGTATAATTAGAAATCATTCTGGTGTGGCTAGGAGACACAGGATTAGAAGCAAGCCATGCAGACCTGAGAGTGCCTCCTTCAAAGCTCACATCTGTACCATTGTAGTGGAAATCATTCTCTTTATTCAGCTCGATGTAGTTTCCAGTAAGCATAGCTATATGCATCTTGATCTTCTCGCATGCACAGTCGATATTTTCAGGCATTCCCGTGACTTTGAAGACTGGCTCCTTGTCCCTGCTGGGAGTAACTATGTAGCTATGGGTCTGCTGCTGAATTCTTTTGATTGTAGCTCCTTTTGGTCCAACCACCAGCCCAACTACATGGTAAGGCACCCTGACTTGGATGGTCACCTGACCTGGCAGGTTAGGGGTACATGGCAGGCCTCCCAGGGCAGTACCGTTCTTGTTGCATGATGCTCTGATCATGGAAAAGTGTTCAGCAGCTGAAAGAATTTCCCTTTTGGCCATGGCTACATCCTCTTTTCGTCCAGTGACAACAAAGATGGGTTCTTCTCCATGAACTGAGGTCTTAATGTAAGTATTTGTCTTGGCCCTTAGTGCTTTTATTTTGCAACCTGTTTAAAGGAAACACATCCAAGTTTAGAAAGCCACAAGATAGCCATCTATTTTAAGCTGTTTGAGACTTTCAAGAAACCATAGAGTGAAAACAGGGGCAGATGTTATCTCTGCAAGCCACATTAGAGAAAACAATAACAACTTCTACCCGTTATTTCTAGACCTCTGACACTTATAGCCACAAACTATTTTAGCAATGTTTCATGGGCTGGTTTAGCCCAGCAACTCAATTGCTATTACATGGTGAATAAACATGAATGTTTTTTTCCTCTGTGTCAGCTACCTTCATGATTATCCTATACATACTGGTGGGTTTAAATTTTTTCCATTGATTAGGTATCCTTCAGTTATTTCTAAGATCCTGCAAAAGGAGTAAAGGCTCATACACACAAGTCTGCTGATATATTAGCCTTTTATTGAAAAGCATGACCTAAAAGCAAATTAAACATTTACAAGTGAGAGAAGTGCCTGTATTGCAACCTGTGTAGGATATAGGTAAAATTGATTAACTGAGAACTCTTCATTTGCTTCCTGTTATCGATGTGTGTTATTTAAAACTTTACTCTTCCCTATGGGATTGAAGGAACCACTCCTTGAACTGTATCAAGTAGGAATTCAAGCAGTTTGTTGCATGCAAATAAGGCTTACTATGTAATAGTACATGCCTACATGAAATTTCTCTTGCTCATTAACTGAGTAAATACAGTCTAAAATAAAAGCAAAAAGTCAGTGAAACATTTGTCTTTGATTTTTGAGGACTGAATTATAAAGTTTGCTATGACACAGTGACAGTAGGCTCTTTCCTAAGATGCTCAAGGCATTTTATAAGGCATGGTGCATACAGAAGCCCCTTTTACCCATCACAGGATCAGAAAAGCAGGTAGTGCAAAATGAAGGGACACAAGCAGGTCCATGACATGTAAGTCAGTCTACTGGATTCAGTCTTAACTGAAGCCTATATTAAAACAAATTCAAAAGCATGTCATATTAAATGTTATTTTATAGTGAACCTCATCTTGAAAAAACTGTAAGCAACATTTGCAGATCAAGTGTTTTAAGCATCATTTCACTTGCAGCAATTTGTTCAACATTTACTTTAAACATCTCATAACTGGATACTCAAAATAGTCTCTCAAAAGAGTGTTTTGTCAGTCCTTTGCACCAAAGGTATCACTGGCAATAAATTTTACAAATAGAAAACCACACAAAAACATGCTTTATTCAGTACTATCTACTAATAAAAAAAAGTAGCAAACATGCAGATGCTGGTTAGAATGGAGAGGAGGAAGAGCTGCTTCTCACAGGGCCTCTGCACACAGCAAGGACAAAGGCTGAACACAAAAGCCCTTTGTTTCAAGGACACAGCTGGAGAGGAAGTTCATTATCTTCAATAGCTGGTTAGGAGGGCTCCAAGAGGCCCTACCTCCACCAGAAAGCACATGGGAGGGCTCCCGCAAGGGAAGGAGCAAGGTACGGGCAGATCTATGCAGAGGAGGGGATGTAGACCCAAGAGCCAAACATGTCAATCAGCAAGAGCAGCAAGTGTCTACAGGAGAGAACAAACCCATAAGCCATCAACCTCCCACTACAGCCTACTGAGAAGGGAAAACACAGACATGAGGTACCTTAAGTGGCAAAGCACACATCCTTTGAGGCCATGCCATTTCCCTGCATATACCAGAGAGCAGCACCTCACTTTGGCAATTTACCTTTACTCCTTCCATCTCTTTGCTTGCATTTCTCCCTGCAAACAAATCTGCTTGCCCACTCCATTCCCATTCCTTCCCAGTTACTCAGAAAAGATAGTGGGCTCAAACCTTAAACCCAAAGGATATGTAAAATGGTGCCACTGAAGTTTTCACACTCTCTTTACTGGAACACCTAAAACCAAAGCCAGTCTCTTGATGCATATCAATTATTCTCTAATATATGCAGATTACTTTGATTTACTCCATTCCACCCAAGTACATATCCATATTTCCTAAAAATTACAGGGGCAGCATTTAAAGAATACTAGAGGCATCTAGACACACATATATGTTAAGGAATACATATAGTGCAGGTAGCTCAGTGTGCAGCTGCAGTGCAATCTGCAGGTTGAGCCGTGAACTGCCCACCCTTTGCACAACAAAGGGCATGGGGACCTGTGGCTGGCCAGGTGACCCGACACTCAGAGACACAGCAGGAACCAACAACCCCCAGACTTTTCTGCCTTTAGACTTTGAGGGTATAAAAGCCCAGGGGTTCCTTTGTTCAGGGACCTTCCTTGGAGGCACCAGCTCAAGCTGTTATTCTGTTATTTAGTTATTGCACCAAGATTAAACTATTTGAAGGATCTGGACGTCTGAGTCTCTGCTATGGGAAACCTGGGGTTGAGCCGGTAAGGAAACCTAGTTTGACTGTGGGAGTGTGAGGTGTGTAGGGAGTCAAGTGGGGCACCTGTCGGCTCACTGGAGCCACCTATTGTGAAGGGGCCTTGGTCCTAGTGCAGATAGTGCAGGTGTGACTGGCAGAGTAGCATCTCCATAGCCAGACAGGGAAGTTTCCTTTAACAGTTTGGCAACCCAGATGGCACCCTAGGCCACACTACCTTTGGAGCCTCCCTTCTCCAAACATTCAACTGCTGGCACAGGGTGAATTCAGCATCTTTGGAGCAGGGAGGACCCAAAGGATGAGTGTTAA